CACTGTTACTGCCACTGTCACTACCACTGTCACTGCATCTGCCGCCACTGCCGCTGCCGCCGCTGCCACCGTCGCCACCGCCACAGCCGTCGCGCTGCCCTGGCTCGTGGAGAGGAATAATGAGCCTCAACGCAGCCGGCGACAGGGAGCGCTGTAGAGGCCCCTAAAGGGCAATCGCGGCATCTGATGCCCGGCATTACCATACGCCCCCACGCGCTTGCCGCGCCGCCGCGGCTTCCCTCGCCCCTCGCTGCCACCTCGTCCCGCCCCCTCCCCTGGTTTTAGCATTGTCTACTAGTTCTTGCTATTGTTCGCTTCCTGCTCGTATTACCCGCTGCTTTCCCCTTGTTGCGACCATTCCTGCTCCATCATCCCCTCCCGTGTCCTTCCGTCCCTCTTCCTCTTCTTTTCTTTTCTATTTATTTACTTATTTATTTCTCTTTTGTCCTATCACGTGTTACCACAACTTCTTTATCTTCAAAACTCTCATGTCTTTTGTGCGTTATGGTGCTCTCTGCACTCTCCACCTTGTCGTGTTATCACCACTGCCTCGACCGTCCTCAAAATTTTCCTCTTCCCATGAATTTGTCTCCTTTGTTATAATGCCATCAGGGGATCTTCGCTTGCGGGTACTATTTTTCCCCTCTTCTTCTCAATTATCACATCTTCTCCATCACCCCTCTATCCCTATTGATAACGTCTTCTGAATCTTTCAACTTTTGAAAATGCACCTCCGTGGTCCCCTCTATAGCGCGGTTAACCCTCGCATGCGCTAGCCAACATTACCTCCCCTTCCGCTCAAATTCCGCGACAGTTACGCACCTAAAACAGCCAGCGTGATTCCTGCTACGCTACACATCCTCCGCTATGGTTCCATCACGGCTAACGTAAACGCAGTTCTGTAGCTGCCCTCGTCATTGCCGTCCCCACCTCCGCCGCTTTTATTACCACCCCCCTCGTCACAACAGCATGTGCGTCTAAGTACGCGGTTAATTCGAAGCGTAAATTCATTTAATCGTCGATACGCGCTGTCGATACCGCGGCATTCGATTTATGTACTGGCGGACAATTATCAGCTACTAATTCACAATTAGAAGCTGTCAAAATTAATCCTTTAATTAGCCGTGCCCAGAAGTACGCCTCCCGTTACTCGGATTTAAGTTGCTTGATGGTATCGACGGGCGTTCCCGCGCGGGTCGGCGCCGCCGCGCCCAGGAGCCCGGGCAACGCCCTCGCCATTAGTTTCGGCCCCAAACTGGAAACGACGCGCGCCCGTGGCTTCCTTGATGTACGCGTGGATCATGTGATGCCATGCCACTTGTGACCCCTACCGTCTGTTCCGAAGCGGTCTCGAAAGGGATCGTTGGGCGTTGCAAGACTCCATCTTGATACACGACTACTTACTAATTTTATTTATTATACTTTTGTTTATTTTTATTTTATCTGTATTTTATTTTTTCCAATCCACATTTCAATCACACACACACACACACACACACACACACACACACACATATATATAGTCTTTGGCAACGTAAACAATATTCTTATTATGTTGAGAAACGGAAATGTTTATTTCACTGCTTGTATTATTCATTTATTCTAAATGTATTGATTTGTTCACGTCTGCTTTCCAACAGCCTCATTACCTAATTAAAAGCTTTAATTTAATTAATTGTTACGCAGTTCTTAGATTTTTCATTAAAATGTATGGCCTTAATTTATTTCATGGTGATGGATAAAATATTTTATGACATTTTAATTTTTATACATATTGGTCAAAAATGTTTTTCGGTTACACGTCTCCTCAACTTCTTTCCATTTCATTTACGAATTACTTCTATTTAAACTCTTGTTGTACGGATAACAGTATTCACCTTTCATTATTTTAATTTTAGAATCAAACAGATAAGAAGTACCATTTTATTAACCTTGTTAACTTTTCTGACAGCAGTTTACCAGTTGGAAGTCTAGTTAGAGGTCAGTGAATGACCACGTTTATTATTTATTTGGTATATTATTATATTTCCATTTTATATTTTAATTAAACAACTTTTAGTATGGATGCGCACATCAAATTTTATCTTACTAGAGTAACGACTGTCTTTGACAGCAATTCGTGAGGTACAGCCCGTATTGCGAGTTTCCTATTGGTGTATTACAATGTCGACCTGATTGAAAACAATGGATGGATGTTCTAAAGGAGTTTATCGCATGATACAACGATGTGGTAATGAATTAAACGAAGAAATAAGAGTAGATTGCAGTAGGGAATAAGAAGTATAAAATGGAAGAAACGTCTTCCTCTTTTGCGGCAAACCTGTCTTGCCTTAAGAGTATAATTGTATAGCATTGTCACTTGTTTAATGTAGAAAATACGAGAGTAACTCTCGTATAAAATAAAAAAAATATGAATATGTAAAAAATCTGAGAATATGTGAATCGTAAAATATACTTACATCAATTTTTGTTTGCATGTGTTGCTTATACACATTCATTAAAGCCACTTCTGAACTCCATTTAAGAGCTCTAGCGTTCTGCTTTGCGAAACTACATAACTCCAATGAACTTTCTCTTTTATTTACGCTCACAATGGAATCGCCTGAATCATTAAAATGCCCATGCAAACGAAGCCTGAAAAGTAATCTTGACGTTAAGAGATAATTGCTGGACAATGATTGTGTTCCCTTTGTTTACATTGGCTGCAGAAACAATTGCGCAGGGGAGGCGCCATCAATTAATTACCGTGCGCGCGTGCGCAGGCGTCTGCTCGCGGGGTCGCCTGTCGCCCTCCCTGCGCTCTGCGAGGCTTCGCTATTCATCTTCCTAGTCGCAGCGCTGGCGCAGGCCGACCCCGCCATCGCCCTCGCCCTCTCGCTCGCCCTCTCGCTCGCCCTCTCGCTCGCCCTCTCGCTCGCCCTCTCGCTCGCCCTCGCCCTCGCCCTCGCCCTCGCCCTCGCTCGCGTTGGCCGCTCGGGATTGTCCCGCTTGCTGTTCTCACGCTCTTGCAATTTTTTGTCTTTTTTGATGTCGGTGTGCCTCGATGTGTTTGCTCTGCTTGAAGAAACGGAAGCGGAGTAGCTAAATGATGCGATTGCGATTTGTTCGTTTTGTAGAATTAGTAGTATGTTCAGCGATCTAGCGTCTCCTATATTATACATTCCTTTTCTCAATCGCAACCGATAGTTATAAATGAGGCCTCGAATGAAATAGAATTTCAAGGAGACGTGGCAAATTTTGCTTCGACTTTAAAAATACGAAGGATTAGTTTAAAAAATGCATATAAAGATTCATGTCAAATGCACTCGCAATACTCTGTCGGCTATATCGTTAAGTAACGTCAAAACGAAGCGTTCTAATGCCTTAAAAACTAACAATTTTAGTCAAAAGTCCGCGAAGAAATGTTTTTCACACCTACATCTGCAACATGAGATATTCGTAGACATTCTATTAATTTTTTGTCGGTTCGGCACTTATCAATACTACCAATGCCACCACAATATTTCTCTTGGTGTTGGTTGCCATCTTTGTGACGCCATGCTTAGAAGGCTTAGATTTCTCTATCTTATACTTAGTGTTACTATCTTATACTTTATGTTTTCTGTGTAAACCCTGGTTTGCACAGATTAACGAGATTTATTTGCATAATTATTAACTCAAGATTCGCTCTCACAGCAAAAACTAGAAGTATTATTAATAATTGTTTGATTCTGACGCAGATTATTTCTTATGCGTGTAGTGTTAGAACATGTCACACACCTTCATGGTCTCACGTTTATTTCACGATATTCTTAGGAAAAATTAGGGTAGTGGTTAACATGCAAGAGTTCTCGCACGGATACACTAGTTATTATTATTAACCCTTCGGATGGTTCAAGGACAGCGTGATAGCTTTCCGTAGTGCGATTCTGGGTTCTATTCCCAGTCAGGACAAAAAAGGAAGCTCTAGCTTTCCATTACCATCGTCTGTTTCTATAGTTCCGTGGCGAAAGAAAATCTTAGGCAGGCCGAGTATGCTACACACGTACGTCATGCTCGCCAAATGTGGCCCTCACCTCCATATATGGATAATAGAGAACAGATCTCGGAACACAGGTATCTGACGAAAGTCGGATTAATCTAATCCGAAAATGCCAAATTTATTATTATTATTATTATTATTATTATTATTATTATTATAATTACTGTTTAGTAACTCTACAGTATTTATTAAATTCTCTCCTCCATCTATCTTTCCCACCTCTCTTCTCTCCTTTCTCAATCTTTCTCTCTCTCTCGCACCTATGTTGCCAATAAGAAGTGCTAGAGTATTTTGAGAGAGCGTGAGGGCTTTTTTTAAGGAACTACTGTTAATCTTCCTCGTTTTAGTGTGTGCACAGGTCCACCTTTCACCGCCTCCTCTATCCCGGCTCGCAATGGCTCCCTGACACTTCTCCTCGTTATTCTGCTGGTCTTAGTTCCCCTTCTCGTATTTTTTGTGATCTAGTGCTACATTGTGGGGTTATCTCTCTTTTGTATGCCATAGCCATGTACCTAATAGAAAGTTGTAGAAATAAGAAATAGTTGTAAAAAGAAGTCGAAAGTGTAAATTATGCGAGTTGTTCGTCTAAGAATCATTCTGAATTAAATTTGTACTTAATTAGTTAAATTGGCCGATGTATACGAGAATATTTTTGTGATTGTTCTGCCATACCCGCTTATTTACTATCTCTAAAATAAGTTTATTAATACCTCTCGCATGAGAACAATTTTTTTCTCTGACTTCCACCATTTTTCTCTCATACATACATATGACATGTTTATAGTCGAGGGGGTTGGAGAAACAGTTGCATGACACAAAGACATTTGACATTCTGACATCATAATGGAAATAACCAACCGTTTGATAAACGAAGTCGGATGAAAGCGAAAAAAATGGGGTTATGGCAAATTCTGTTGTAATAACACTGTTTTTGATGCAATAAGGATTCACTTGCAAGATAAACCTGGGAAATAGTACACACTAACGAAACATAACCATTAAGGTAGCGAAAAGAGATTGTGTGTATGTAAGGCGCTTAAAGATGAGTCTATTTCGATTCAAATATACAGTTGAACTACTGAGTCTAGGATAGGATAGATAGGAACCGCAGTGGCCGTTAATAATGTAGGACGATCGCGGTGAGATATCAAGACATTAATATTGTCAGCACATAAATGATTCCACTCGCTCGAACGTGTACGGTGACGAGATGGGTTAAGTGACCATCATGGCAAGCGTGTCGCGTCCAAATTTAGTACCTCCCTCCCAGTTGCGACGGCTGCCACCGCGCCGTCCCTCGTAAGTAGGAGCTGATTTTGATGACCTAAAACATCGCCAAAAATGATCAATAAACTTATCTTAAGATGCTTTAAAAATGTCCTAAAAGTAAAGAAAAATGACGTAAACATTTTGAAGAAAACTAGTTCAGAAAAACAACTCAAGCTGTTGGATATGTTGCCTATGTAATCGAGACCTCTTCCTTTTCGTCCATGTGAGCTCAGCTAGCAAACGTTTGGTTTGGTGCAAGGAAATATGTCTTTTGTTATCGCGAAATAGGTCGCACTGACAATGGCGCTGATAGACGTGACAGGAACCTTAGATTACATACTTATGAATAAGTACAACGGCAGATATTACAATTTCTGAGCGAAGAAACTGAATAGGCTTCTCAAAAATTCAAGGGAGAATTTTTTGCATCTTATAAATATTATTTGAAGCACGGTGTATTAAAATGATGTTAAACTCGATTAAATAAGCAAAACAAAGATTTAAAAATGAGGGGAAAAGGTAAAAAATTACGTCGAAATCGACGAAAAGTGCAAAAAAGTAAATAAATTGAAAGTGTGTCATTTTCGTTTCCATAACATACAATTACAGTCTATACTGAAAGGCATTGATCTAAAATGAAAAGAAAAAATGACATTTTATTAAAAGCCGGCCCCTTCTCATAAGCATCCCTTTCTGCCGACCGCCCAATCCGTCCGTCAGTGAGAGCAGGAAGAGTGGCTTGACTGAGCGGTCGTGAGCTCCCCTCCCCTTTCGACGCCTCGCGTCGCCCTTTGCGAGGGTCGCGCCCTCCATGACGTGACCTCGCAGTGCAGGATGGCGGGGGGATTCAGTCGCAATGCCTGTTCTCACTTATATTGAAGAAGCTCGAAGTTGCTTGATACTGATCATGGTACAAGGGCGAGCTATCCATGTAAAGCTAATTGAAGCGTCAAGGGTTTTACGTTCACTTGCAACTTTTTGTGGATTAATTACTGCAGAAATCGAAGTAAAAATGACAAAGCTATTTAAATTTGCTTTGCAGCTATAACAAGTTGAAATGTTAAATTATCTTTGGATGTTTTCCTTCCATGCACAGTTAACGTTTATTAGGCTTTCGACATTTCATCTTATTCTTTTCCGAAATTAAATTAACGTACTTTTGTTTTGTGTAAATTATAGAGTTCAGTACTACTTGCAAAAGTACATTGTTGAGAGGAGATTGTGATAATAAAATCTTGTAATTTCATGTACCGAATCCACATCATATTTTGTCATTTGACTTCTAAGTAGTCCCCTTTCTGAAAAAGTTGTTCGACAACAGTCACTCGTTGCGAAGTTAACTCCATGTTTCATTGAGAAGCTTTTCCATGAATTAAGAGGCGATTCTTCACAAGGCTTGTTTCGTGGAGGAGAAAATTGTCATAACGACGTTTATTCAAAGCTTAACGACCAAACAATTTCTCCCAAAATACACCTAATGATACATACTGTGAATAAGATAGAAGTAATTGGATAATCATATATTCAGCAGTTAGGATAAACAACACGTCAGTGTTCAGGAAGTCATTAAGATTCTGGTCACGCGAAGTTAACTTCTGACGAATTTTTATCTCATATTTTTGTAAAACGATATCTATGAATATCATATCGTAGACTCAAACCAAAATTTTTAAAAAATACTTTCAGCAGGTGAAATTATCGCAAATGAACCATGCAGAAGATGACATGTCATGTGCAACACACAGGTTTTGCAGCCCGACGCGTCGCGCGGCTCTAACTGGACCCTGGGGCAGCGGAGTTTTGCGAGAGAGCAAAAGACTTAACGATTTTCTAATTCCCCTCCGTCGAGGACTACCGCCGCGGGCGCGGCGACAGATGCGAAAACCATGACGGCAGGCGAAAGACGTGTGTGGGTGACGTTCAACTACATTTCGAGGTGGTAAAAGCCCGCCGTGCAAGCCTGCGGCGTTGGTACTGCTGCATGTGCGGAATATCTAGGTTTTTGATGTTAAAGTTTTTTTTTATTTTATATCAATATTGGTTTTCGCCGCGAAATTGTCTATCTGTAAATGTTGTCTTTCCGAAGAAAAAGCACAATTCAAGAATTGTCACGGTAATCTATCAACAGAGAATGTAACGTGAAAATGGCGAGTTTTGAGAAAAGAAAGCGTTCACACACAAGCAATTTGAGTAAGAAATATTGTGTTTAGCTTCTCAAAAAATTCCACCGAACGGTCTTTTTCTTGGGTTACCACGAAGTTTCAGTTTCTTTTGAGAAGTTGATGGGAAAACTTTCAGCTCATATTAGACTACCATCAGAGATTGGTAACAAAGTCATTCTATCAAATCCCCGCGAATAATTAATAATTGAACATCCACAAATGCAAAATCTGTTAGACATCCTCTCTCTTTCGGAACCTTTTTCTAGTTTAAATTGTGACGTAGGCGGTCGCAGTCAATCCCGTGTTGCCGTTGACTGATTTGACGTGCCCGTGCGTTGCAATATTTCGCCGTGGACTGCTTTGCCAAGGTCTCCGTCATCTCACCGTGGCCTTCTTCCGGGCTGAAAAAGCAAATCAGCCAGCGCCGTCACGGTACAATCACAGATATTGTCGAGAGTTGGGTAAGGAGAGAAGGCGTTTCCGTGTTCCACTCGTACTGGCTCGTTAAGATAAGCTACATATCGCGTTATCCGATTAACAATACCTGGCACACGCTACTCTCAAGTCCGTCTCACGCAATGCAGTGTAATACAATTAACCTCGCTCTCGACACTTGTAATGACGCCTGATTAACTACAGCCTTCGGGACAAGCAATTATTTTCTTTCTATTATTTGAGGTAACAAACAAATCTGTGCAAATGCTTCCGATTCTCCGTTGCATTGGATACAGTACTGGCGTTATCATCTGATCACAAAAAATCATCCACCACCTAATTTTATTCGTAGAACAGTGTAGATTGTTACATAATTGTATGTATATAATTTGTTTGATCAAATTCACTGAAATGTATTAAACACCAATCTAGCTCGAGAGACTCTCGCAAGAATAATAGTTGCATATTATCTATTAATCTTTGTGAATTTAAAAACTTTTTAGTGTTGAATTACACATTTTATATGTTGTATTGTTGAACTTTGGATAATGTAGATGTATATGTAAAGAAAAAAGTATTTTGAAGAATTTTGTTAACATTTTATATTTTATCTGCGTTAAATATTTTTGGAAATCGAATATTCTACCCAAAACGTGCTCGATCATCAAACTCGCCTACTTGTACACCACTCTTCCATTCTCCCATTCTCAGGCACACTTTCTCGTCATACTATCCTGTAATCCTTCGCATCCACTTACACGGTCGGGTGCCAGCACAAAACATTCACGGGGCGGAATCGAAATTTAATGAAACGCACTCGAGCGGGATTACTCGTGGAGGAGGAGGGAGCGGCGGCAGGCGGGCCGGGCGTGTGTGAAGCGACGGCCGTGGTCGTTCGGTTCGAGAGCTCTCGAGTCGAGAGGGTGAACGAGAAGACGAGAATTTGATGCGGCGGCGCGCCCGGGTTTCAGGCCGTCGAAGCCCTTCTGAAGCAGGCGGCTGCAGTAGGCCGTCATCGGTTCTGGAGGAGAGGAGAAGGCGGCTTAGCGGTTCGTTGTAAAGAACCTCGCTACTGAGACGTAGCTCTTTCGATGAATCGAAACCTCGTTCTCTCATTCTCTGCAAATTACACTGTTTATGCTTCGATGACAATGCATTCGGTTGAGTGATGATTGACGTTCATAGCCGGATCGCTCGTTTTGGTAAGAGGATTTCACATAGCCTCTTGAAGAAAAAAGGATACGACCAAGTTTCACCAATGTAACGCGTTGACGTTGTTATGTGAGTTTTATCGTTTATTATTATTATTATTATTATTATTATTATTATTATTATTATTATTTGCATATTGGTAATTTCTAACCACACTAAACGATTACCGTGCGCAACTACGGAGATCAGCTTTTCAGCTGTATCCATTGATAAGACAAGATTGTTACACCGTGAATTATGAATTATGAGATGACAGCATGATGATGAAGGAGGGGTGAAGGGAGAATCACAAATACGACCATGTCTACGCAGGACTTGAACCTGCAGCCTCGTCGGTGTAGGCGATGGTTGCCGCAACTGTCTGCGCCACGGGGCCGACTTCATTGTTGTGGTTGTGATTACTATTATTAATGTTATTCATACTTCTGTAAACTTAAATACACATGTTTTGTTTAAAACAAATAGTTTTTATAATTATGGAATTGGAGTAAAAAACCTTGTACGAACGCTTTCATTCTCGACTTTTCCATTGATTAATTATTAATCGCAAAGAATACATTTGAATATCAATCAGTGGCCATGTATTATTTTATTACCGAAGTCACAAAAACATCGTCTAATTCCTTTACGTAGAAGGATCCTCAGACATAGTTCGACCATTGTTCCGTCGTTTCCTCGATGGCTTTATAAAATCATTAATATAAAAATTGATATCATCACATATCTTCAAATTACTATCATAAGTGTCGTTTCTACGCGTGTTTGAACATGTATTAAAGTTGCGGTAGTGGAAAGTTCAGAATCATGCTACGCGTAATTTGTTTCACCACAAAATTATGTAAATTTAACGACTAAAATAATCCTCTTCCGAAATTCATAATAGTGAATCCCACGATCTATTTGCATTGATTATGGTAAATTCCCATTTTCTAGATAATACTTGGAAATAACTCGCATTTTAATGATTATTTAATGGAGCACAGTTCGTATCACAATCATCAGTTATTGTTCCTTGTTCTTTGCTGAACAGAGGTTTCCCGAGAAGTCACATCACTTAAACGTTGCTTGTCGTGGACGCAGACTAGAGCACGTGAGGTCATTGTTTGCCTTCTATGTACAGGCTTATGGCGTGTCGCGGTTGTGGTGTCCTTTCACGTTTCTTCTGTCCAGAATGCTGTCACCGTTGTTCTAGTGCGGTGTACGCTCTGTGTGTGCGTATCTAGGCTGTAGTGCTACCGCCTCTATTGTAATGCGAGTAATACGAATGAAATGAAAATTCGAAACCAAAATACCAGTCACATGTGTTTGAGAATATTGACTTGCAGAAATGATTTCTGCAATTGCATTTCTTTAATCAGAAGAATGTTAATCGACAATTGGAATTTAATATCTTCTACTCGAATTTTTGTGATCTACATTTGTGTGAAACAAAAAAAAAATGTAGCTTGTGCATGTACACCTCTCAGTTGAAAATATTGGAAGTCATTTTTTTTTCGTGATTTTAATTCAGTTTTACTTGGATCTGTGTAGATATGCTTTATGTAATTAACATTTCACGATCTTCCCTTCAATTTAAAGTAAATAATAACATATTATTTGGTAAGTATTAGAGATTGTATAATATTTTAAGGCACTTTTGTTGTCGAAAATGAAGTGTAATATTGTTCAAGATTTTTTTTTTGTACGTGAATGGGACTTTTATCTTGTTTCAAAAATACGCAACGAAATCAATGAGTTCAAAAATGATCCGATATTAAGAAAACATTATACATTAATCAAACAGAGAATAGACAATATCAAGTTTTGTCTGCGGTAAAACCACGAATACGATCAACGACTCTTTGAATTTGAAATCTATGTGAAATGATTTGGCATCGACTGCGATTTAAATTCACAAAAATTCACTGGATACAAAATTCACTTGACTTCATTCAGTTTCTGAAGCGAAATCGGCTTGGGTGTAAAGAAATCTGACGAACTTGTGTTAACTGATAGAGGGCATCGACGGTCAGTTTTTACATTCAAGTTCCGTAGTTGATCACAATGGACTGCTGCACTGAGCATTTTGAAAAGTTGTCATTTCTGTATGTCATTTCCTGTGAATTTATACAGTTAATAACTCTTAGTGTAACAATTTCAAAATATCTCACCAAATATTGAAATGTAAAAGTGTCTGTGACCGCCTTAAAATATTCGCAATATTCAAAGTGACAAGTCATGTGAACACATGACGTAGAGGCTCGTTTGGAGGTTTTCTCCAGTCCCTCGGCGGTGAAGGGTCGGTTCGACCACGGGCAGCGATGCGCACCGCGCGCGACCACGCGCACGCGCGGGCTTCCGCTCACGCCCGTGCGGCCGCCGCCGCTGCTGTCGCTCGCCCATTAGGCAGCGTGATGCGCGGCGCGGCCCCAAGTGGCGGCGGCGGTGGTGGCGGTTGTGAGGGCGGTGGTGGAGACGGTGATGGCAGCGGCGGCGGCTGAGGTGGTGCGTATCGGGGCGTAGGCGGCTGCATGTGACGGAACGAATAGCAGAGATGGCAGGCCGAGACGATGGGCGGTGGGCGGGTTTGCGGGTGCGGTTTTCGTGGGTGGCGGGTGTGCGGTGGCGGTTTCGTGGCGGGTGCTGTTTCCGGTTTCAGGTACGTGTGGTGTTCGGTCGTTTCGGTGGCGGTGGCGGTGGCGGTGGGGTGGGCGGTGGCGGTGGCGGTGCGGGCGGTGGCGGTGCGTGGCGGTGGCGGTGGTGTGGTCGGTGGCGGTGGCGGGTTTCGGGTGGCGTGGGTGGCGGTGGTGCTGGCGGTGGCGGTGGCGGTGCGGCGGGGCGTGGGCGGTGGCGGTGGCGGGGCTGGTGGGCGCCAACGGGATTGAGCCTCATACGTTCCGCCTCTCAAAATTCTGCTGCAGAGCTTAGAGGCGCCCCTCAACTTTCTTTAATAACAAGGTTTCGAATTATAACTGTCTCGTTTACCTTCGCCGAAGTATGTACTCTGGAAAATGGAATGTGTAATTAAGAATATGTGGTGAATAACGTGTTTTTAAGAAGGAGTTTTACAATACACATGCCTAGAGTAGTTATTAAATACGTTTCTAGAAGTATCACTGCACCCGCCATTGCACATTGCCTGTCAGGAGAAAGCAATGGAACCTCTTTCTCTATTTCTTACTCCGCTGCTAGCTAAAGCCTTAGTCCTCCTTGCCCCATTACGACCACTAAAGTCCAAATTCCATTGATTTTTTTTACTTTTTGTTTTGTAGTTGGAATTTTTCTTCCTCTATTAGTTCCTCCAATTAAGTTTTGTCTTTATTCAGATATTATCCTCATAAGAGAATGTTTTTTCTTGCGATATGATACTGGAAAATGTTTTTTAAGTGCGTGGTTGCATGGGTTGCGTTTTTTCAGTGCATGAACTGCTGCTCCCATGTTTATGGATTTCTGCTGAAGATTCGGTTGTTATAACACCTGCATTGTATACTCAGCAATACAACAATCGTAACATCTCTCAGCTTGTTCGACATCACGTATGCGTAGTCGAGGCGATTCGCTTTCCGGCCTGTAGACAGTCGGTTTGGTCAACACCTATTAATATTCGTTTAATATCGGTTTAAGGCATCTTTATTCCCTGTAGGACAACTTCAGACGTAGAAATTTTCATCTGAGCGGATTATTTCCCGGAACGCCACTTGTTGCGGTTGCTTCGATAGTTTAAACAAGGGTCAGAACGCATGTAAGAGGAATTCTCTAGCATCAAAAAGAGTCATTTTATGAAAAGGATGTATAGTGGAGATTAGTCAAAAGGAGCGAGGATTCTCTCTCAAAACATTCCTCCCACACTTTTTTTTTGTCTGTTTTGTTTCGTTTCACCTTTCATCTTTTCTCTCCGTTATCACCCATCTCCGAGGGGTCGCTAGATCTTTCTTCAGCGCCTCGTCCCGACCCACCCAACAGCCGGAGCGCAACGAGCCCGGTCCCCGGCCCCGTCGCCGCCGCCCCACGTGCCCGCCCCGCGCCCGCCTCCCGCCTCATTATCATGCTAATCGGCGCCGCCGGTGCGCGCGCGGCGCGCTAACGAAACGAAAAGGCCCCGGCCGGCTGTACACGCAGGCGCGGGAGTGGGGGCGGTCGAGGAGACGGGTAGGGCTAGGGAGGGGCCGGTCGAGCGGTAGGAGTAGGCGGGGCGGTTGGGGTAAGTGGTGCGCGGTAACGTAGGGTGGGCGGTGCATCCTGGTGGAATGGAATGGATTGAGAGAGGGGTATACTGTTCGTGTTATTGAGGATGGAGTCGGCGAAGAGATAGCGATAGGGCTGATGCATGAGTGAGTGTTAGAAGTTGGCGGAGAGCATGAGAATGATGCGAAGGCGAAGTCCGAACAAGAATTGGGGTGTAATGTCTGTGCGTTGGAGAGGTGAATTAAAGTACGTAAGGGAGGGGAGGGCAGGGAGCGGGGGGGGAGAGTGATGAAAGGAGGAGATGTGAAAAGAGAAATCGTGCTGACCGCGTGCGGAGGGGGGCGACAGGCCCTGAACGGGCGGTCGGTCGCGAAGAGGGTGGAAGAATCCGGAGACGACGAACAGATGATACGAGCCCGGCAGGCGGACAGACAGGTGGGTGGAGGGGCGACGGGAGCAGTGAAGGGACGAGTAAGATAGTGGGCGTATCCTCGTCGTGGGGGTGGCGTGGACACGGTTATTGCCGAGGTGTTGTTCCCATGGCTCTCGGTCGGTGATGCTGGCGGCCTAAGGTGGTGAAACTTGTGCGCAGGAAGGTTCACCGTTAGATAAAGATGGGTCAGGGAAGGCCATTGGTCTTAACAAGTAAAACAAAAAGACAAGGATACGAAAGAGAAAAAAACAAAAGAAAATGAGACGCAGGTGGAGTTGTATGCTGTGGTAGCAACATCACTGTCGCTTTACAGGTTCGGGTCTTCTCCCAGGTGAATTTAAAGGTGAAAGTTACGTAGATGGTAACTGCAAGCGACCGCAATTGAAATCGTCTTTTCATCTTAAAAAGTCTCAAATCGTTAATGTTGCTTATGTTATTGATTTGAAGCTTTACGCAATCCCCACTAGTAACAACATTCCGAAATATTATAATAATGATAATAATAATAATAACCATAACCATAACCATAACCATAACAATAACAATATCAAGAAGGAGAAGAAGAAGAAACATCACTATTATCTGTAAGCATTTTCATAGTTCTGAATTCTCCCTCTCAATCAGTATGCGTTATTCTTAATACAAAAGTCGCAACTATCTATGTATTAGTACACGTTGCTATTGTTTTTTACTTTCTTACATACTACTGCACCTGTGAATGTTACATATATTACATACCACTGAAAATGTAATGGTGCAGGGAGAAGTGGTGACTTTTCGTCAAAAAAACAACAACAAACAAACACAAATTATGGGTTCCTGATAAAAAAGATAGTTATTCTTCTTATATCTAATAAATTATTGCTTCTTTAATGTGTCTAGTCAGTAATATTCGTTTTGTTGGTCGTTGAACCCGAAACTTTGGACTACGGCAAAATTGTCTGTCCCTCTGAGAATAACGCTAGCGCTGAAACCGTACAAAAGATTTTCACCAAATTTGTTATTCTGCTAACAATTTGGCTGATCTCGCGGCCCCTTGAATTTGAAATGAATATTTTTTAGTTTGGGAGTATGTTACATGTAGCCGCAAAGACATTTTCAAAATTTTCTCAAAACTAGATATATTTGTTTGGATCTTGAAGTACCTTATAAAATGGCTTGCAAAAACCTGTTCACATTTCTCTGAATTTTCTATATTTCCAAAATTACAAAAGTGAAAAAATCGTCCGTTTCCTACTATAATATTGAGATTTTATCTTCTAATACCTTGACATTAGACGTATAGATTCAATTTTTATTAAAATATTTTCATTTTCGAAAATTGCAGATGCTTCACTTTTTTCTTTCAAGCGGCGGAAACAATCGATTGGCACGAAAGAAACGAGAACACACCAATAAAACACCCCACGAATCCTCTGTATTGTACATCAAAAGTTTGTTGAAATGAAAGTAATTATTCTTTCTACTTGATTCGGGATTCATACGATGAAAGTGCTGCCGTATAATTTTTATTACCCTGTTGCTACTTTTAACAATTAAACAAAATAATTTAAAGCTGCTTAATTACATTTCTGATTTCCACCGTATCTTGCAATAAATAAATCTACCTTGTGATATGAAAAGTTTTGTGTTCCACATAAGGGTCTAAAGTAACCACGGGTGAATACTCTTGACGAATACAGTATTCTGTGTTCCCCGATCCCCCATGCTGACGCTCGTGCTTGCACATTTACCATACACTTGCACCCACACAATCTCTATCTCCTCGTGCGTAGAAAGTTGCCATTGCGGTCAGAGTCTGTGGACGACGTCTCCGAGTGCTCTCATGCGCACGCGTTCAAGAATCCGAGGAACGCGCTGCTTTAGAACTCGTTGGAGCCAAAGAAGGCGAAGCTCCCGAGCAGTCAGCACTTTGACCACGGTTGATTGCTCAATATCTAAAGAGTATACCTTATTTTGTTCAACTTACCGTAACACGCATTACCTAAAAAATTGGTTTCTTGGTAATATTTTAGGGCTAATGGCCACTTCTGTCTGTACATTTTCAGAATTGCACAGAACAACTTTAATAGAGAAGATATAGTAAATATTAAACAGTTCATTAAACAGAATAAATCGTATTTAAAATATTTTTCACGTGACTGATATATTCAAAGAAATAGTCGTTACCGTTTCGTTATTCAGTCATAGAATCTTTTCGTACTTACTTGGCCTGAACTTCGGATGATTAAACCTCCCGTGCCAAGCTCTGAACTACCTTGAGTGAAAAACTCTCTAATGGAAGCAATGTAATTAGTTTCTTTTGCTCGCCCTCGCACACTGGCTCTTTCTGTGCAACAGTTTGTAAACTTCCTCCTGGCGTGATAGGGATACTTCAAGAACAATTTCAGAGAGAAAATTGTGTTCGTGAAACTCCCTAAAACTGAGGGGTCCCAACAAAAAAAGTATCTGCGTGGAAACGGAATTGGGATTGTGAAGGCATTAGCGCGAAAATTGCCGGTGTTCCGTTAAATACTTAATTAGACGAGCGTAAACGGCCAGTCCGGCACTTTCCATCCGAAGAGTACCTGCTCCCCATTACTCAGAGCTCCTGTCGTTGCGGGGAGAGGGAGGTAGGAGACGGATGAGGGGAGTAGAGAGGAAGGAGGATGGAGGGAAGAAGTCATCGGGTGCTAACAGGTGTTTAGGAACAAGTCAAGAGGAGTCTTGCTCGGTTTTTGTGGGTCGACCGCCAGGTCCTGCACGTGTGCGAAAGAGATCGGTCGTGTCCGGTTGAGGTACTAGTATACCCAGACTGTTTCAGATAACCTCTTTTTTCTCTTAACACATGAAATAGAAAAAGTGGAAAAACGTAAGTAGGCAAAGCTATAGTTTTAATTAAATATTCTGAAGGGACAAACAAGTAAATTTCTTTCATAATCAAGTACATGCATAGAACCTCTGTTTCAAGTGACAGGCAGTATATCATAAAATTTTGGCCGCAACATTCCTATGAATCTAATATTATCACTTAGGAAATTTTAATGAAGAAAAATTCTATTTTTTTGGCATTCACAGAGGCTACGGTGAGATTACAATATCAGCTCTCTTGCACTGTGGACAGCTTCAAGTTGTTTTACGTTATTTTAACTTTCTGGATCTGCAGTGGAAAAGTGAATAAGAAGCAAAATATATACTATTTATGTTAATACATGGATCAAAATGTGGTTTTAATGAGTGAAAAACTGTACCATCGGGAGGACGTTTTAAGGCGCAAAGGAAGAGGACGATTAAGTAAAATGTCTTAATTTCTAAAAACAGTTGTTCTTCATCTGCACGCTACTGTTTTTGCACTTCTACTGTTTGTCTCTTCTATATTACAACTGAAGAGTATGAACTGGCGTGTTTGTAGAAACTGTACCATTATTCCGAAGATTCTGAATGACTAAGTGCACATGAACCTTTGTATGTTTTATTTTATTTATTTAATAGGTAATTATTACAGACAAAATTAGCTTACTTGATCCTATGTGGCTAG